CCTAACCGAGTGCATTCTAACATTTCAATGGAGGGAAACGAGGGGCTTAACCTTTTAGGTACGGCTGAATTCTGCGCGAGGCTATTTCTCTGGACGGCAGAGTCCGATATGTACTGTACAAAGTGTCTGCATATTGTTAAGATAAGTCTGTATATTTTAAATCGATGTGAAGACAAAAGAAGTGTGAAACAATGCATATGAAGACGATTATTTGATTCAAACGATGACCGAGTGAGCTACTAGAGTAAGCCACTATAGTGGCGCGTCGTTCAGAGAGATGACATCCGCGAAAGCCACTATAGTGGCGCGTCGTTCAGAGAGATGACATCCGCGGAAGCCACTATAGTGGCGCGTCGTGCCTAAAAGGTTAAGGGCCTATGCACATCTACGTACTAGGCTTGGGTCGTGCTAGCAGCGTGCTCGATCGAGTGTTCACATTAGATGTGCGAGCATGGTGTCAGGCAGGACAGGTGGTGTCAGGAAGTCCCTTAGACCGAGATTTCGAAGTTCGACTTTATCTTTTCCGAACGTAGAAAAGGACAGGAAATGAAAGATAGATAATAACGCAATGTGTAAGTTCTTTATTTTGTACTATTTCTTAATGGGACTTTTTCCAATGCAATTCTGAGCTTTCTCCGTTTAAAATAAGTCCAAACACGATATAATTTTTGTAAAATTATGTTGATTTTTATGAGAAATATAAATGTACTTTTCATATTAATGCTAACTTAAATATTTTAGGAAACCGTCGAAGGTTTCATCCGAGACGTCATCAAAACGCAGTATTTTTTTCAAAACTGACTAAACGTCTAGAGTTTTTTTAAATGATAGTAGGACTAGTCCACTATAGATAATGACTATAAAACTTTTTTAAAATTTTACTATTACTTGAGATGACAACAAAAAATAAAAAAACATGTCTTTTTAACTTCTTTATCTAAGCCAATGAAATGCGTTTTGTAGATCTTGGTGACTTATATCCGTATCAAAAATTTCGTCGAAATCGGTTGACCTTGAAATAAGCTGTAAACAATCAAAGATCGATCAATTAAAAACCCACCATCATCTTAAAAAAAATTCTAGACGTTTAGTCCAAGTTTTAAAAGATGTACTGCGGTTTCGAAGAGTGTCCACACAATTTTGTGCGGTGCTGTGTGCTAAATTCTCGATGTTGCCGTTGCACTAGACGTCATTGTATACTGACCCAGCTACCTACACGCCAACGGGGTTATTGTACGTGTCGGTGGCCAATTTTCCATTTTAGGTTAGTTTCTTCAGAATGTAACATTTTATTTAATTATAACCTACAAATGATCACCAAAAGTCGAGTCACCATCTACCCTTCATAGATTCCCTTTTTTGCATGCTTTGTCAAGTCGAAATGATTTCCCGGGTTTATTGCCTGCAACGCTAGAACCAAAGAATGTGTACTCTGTCCACATCATAACAGTTCCGTAGTTTTCTGTTACGCTTTGTTTTGGTTACGGCGAAGCAAGTCTGGCCCGGGCCTGCCTGCAAGTGCCGGCGACCTGGCACGCCGCGAGCATGGCACACGTAGTGTGTACACTCTAGCGTAAATCAAGCGGAAAAATGATTTGGCCTTGATCGGCCTTGGAGCACGGCCCGAGCCTAGCACATACATGTGCATCGACCCTAAGGCGTCGCGAACCGTAACTATATTAAATCCATTTTATGAAAGACCGTTCTAACGAAGAGCACTACTTTTTTAGTCCGAATGTACAAACGTAATAACTGCAATGCGATATCCCCCAACGCGAAGTTAAATTGGTCACGTTCGTTTGCTGTAACTGGGAAAAAGAACACGAGAAACGTCCGGAAGCTTTTCATCGACAAAACAAAAACGTCAATTAGAATCGAAGTGGAAGTAGATAGTATTCGTGCACCAATCAATTTTTAAGAAGAATTGGTGACGTTAATGTTTATCATTTACTCTCGAGGAAAATTGTTTTCTCGAGAAAATTATTATATAGGATGGACAAGAATTCATAATACAACCGAGAAGGGGGTGATTCTACGTGACAAAATTCTATATCACATTTTTTTATCCCGAGCTCCGTTTTCAAGAAGAACGACTTTAAAGCTTGTTCATATTTGTATAGGATTTAGAGATTGTCTATTCTTCTATCGTAGATGCTTCCGTCTGAGACAGTGTTTATAAACATTAATTATCGTGAATTATGTACTTAGTAAACGGAATGTTTCTATCATTCGGAGACTATCGGTCACTATCTTGGACGGAGATACCTGAGGTAGAGAAATAGGCGACAACTAAATTCATCACAAAGATGAACAAACTTTAAAGTCGATTTTCTCGAAAACATAGTTCCGGTTAGAAAAATGTTATACCGGATTTTTTTCTTAATAATTTTTTCTTCTTAATAAATATTATCAACGATATTTAAATGATATAGTCGTTGCAACATTCCTGTTAATTTCATCAACATTTTCGAGAAATATAATCTGATTTCTTGAGAAAGGAAAAATAACGAGAAATTATGAACATCGATCAAACCACGTTCTGAATTGATTATGCCGTGTATTTTCCGAAATTCGTGCAACTTTTCATATGCATCCAGCATCGCTTGTCGAAATACGTAAAACATCGATTGCGCCGTGTTAATCACAATGCCGAAACGAGATTTGAATGCAAATGAACCATGAGTGAAACGATAGAGTCCGCAAATTTTCGAGCGTTGAGAGCGAGGACCGATAAATGTTTACCAACTATGTTCTATACCAGCGAATTTCGTCGGAAACTAGTCCGATTAATATGTAAAATTTGATTAATTATTTAATTGAAAACGTTTCGATAGAAAATTTCCGCGGGTACAAGCATATTCTAGTAAAACTAATTTTCATGAATCAGATTAATGTTCGAAATGGAAATTCACAAATGTATCAAGTGGTCAGTTTATGATTCCTTGAATCCATACTTTGTGTAAGAAAAATATTAAGTGAAGAAAAAATTTATTTCATTATATTTTGTAGTTCAAAACAATTATAAACAAAGCACTAAAGTGTAAAATGTTGTATAAATATAACATCAGTATTATACAATTGTATATTTCATATGTAGCAACCTAATATTATTGTGACGTTTTTTTTTCTCATTCCTAGAAATGTGAATTTCGTAATTTGGCAACCAGATTTTAAAGCCACACTTTAACGTGAAAATGTTACGCAGAACGAACAAAAATTGCGAGAACCTATTTCGTATTAGTCTCTTCAAATGGCTAAACGACACGATTGACGTAATTTCAGAACCTACTTGTGCGATTTTAGATTTCATTCGCGCGATTCCACCTTCATTTCATACGTTCCGTAAATAGAATATGCAAATAGAAAGTTGTAAGTTGTGAAATAGAGTGAAAAATGTTAGAATGCATTTTTATTCCTTCATATCTCAGTAAAAAAATGTTACAAGATAAGTACATATTTTCTACAATTAATGGCAATACAAATTAGAAAATAATGACATAAAATTGAGGAAAGAGTTACAAATAGTTACAAATTCAGTTTCCTCAATGCTTAGAAAGTTACAAGACTTATAAATCCAAATAGGTACATATTATATCTCAGATATATTATTCACAGAAAAATAATTGCATGAGTACCCTTTTTTCCACGAATTGTTAATTGATAATAAGTTATATCTTTTTTTAAAGTAAAATTCTTTTACTATTTTACCAATCATTAATCAAGTTAAGATACAATTTGTGTGTCATACCATTAAGAAGTAATTTTAATTAACAGTAATACACGTAGAGATTATATCTTAATGTTCCACACATAAAATTCAAAGTAATCATGTAATATAATTTTCACCAAGTTTTCAATTAAAGATTTTAGTTATAAAACATTACAAATTTGAAAAAATACAGATATTTTATAAAAATTGAATGAGCACATCGGTCACATTTATATAGTAGTAACACATTATAACAGCAACTGTTATTGAATTTTTTCAGAATTTACAGTGAGAAATGCAATAATGAAGTGGAAAAAAGGTTAAAATGGACTTTT